ACTCCAGGACCACATTCGATCCAAATTCCTTTGGGGGGCAACCCTGCGAACCACCCTGTAGATATATGTTGTTGTTGTTAGCCATTCAGTCGTGTCAGACTCCTAATAAAGAGGTTCTATTTAGCCAGGGGTCATTTCCTGCAGGAGCGCACAGGAGCGGAGCTCCGGCAGTAAAGAGCCCAGGGGGCGGGCACATGCAACAAGCCCTGCCCCCCTGCTCCCAGCAGCCCTCAGTCAGAGCAAGAAGCAGCCAGGTGAGTTGCAGAGCCCCCCCCGCCCCCCCCGGTCCAAAACAGTCCAGTGGCACCTTTAAGACCAAGCTTTATTCAGGTACAAGCTCTCCCTCCTCTGCGAGGACAGAGCTGCATGTCCCCCCCCCAATAGCTAGCAATCCAAAACAGTCCAGTGGAGCCTGAGCGGTGGGTGTTGCCTTCTGACACACTTCCGGTGATGTCAGGGGGTGTGGCATATGCAAATAAGTTATGCTAATGAGTTATGCTAATGAGCTCCTGCACCTCTTTTTCTACGAAATGACCCCTGTATTTAGCTATTATGGTTAATGGTATGCTACGGTGAACTAATTCTTTTTAAAAACACCATTCAGTTAACAGTTAACATTTGAAAATGACTAAGTTTCCAAAACAAAAATGCTGAAAGAAGTGTGTTACACAGCTAACTGAACACGTTTGGGTCAGCGTGTATAGCTTCAGTAAAAATAATTTTAAGGGGAGGAGCAAGCCAAAAGACAACCTTCCTAACAGTTACGTATAAGCATAAAGAGTACCTTAAAGAGCATCCCTTTCCTTGGAATCATACCCCTTCTGAAATACACAGAGCCGCTTTAAGAACTATACTATCAAGCAGCAGGACAAAATGAGGCCTTCTCAGAGTTTCAGAATGCCCTGTATATGTCTCTTCCACGAAGATAGTTCCAGAAGGGCAGCCATGTTGGTTTGCAGCAGAAGAGCGAGATTCTAGTCCCGTAGCACCTAAAAGGCAAGATTTCCTGGGTATAAGATTCCAAGAGTATCTGACAAGGGGAGCTCTGACTCTCGAAAGCTTCTACCCTGGGAATCTTGCTGATCTCGAAGGTGCTGCTGGACTCGAATCTAGTTACGCAGGTGCTCTTCCCTCCCAGCTGTTGAAGGGCAACATTTTGTTTTATTTTTATTACGTAAAACTGCCATCTGAGTGGTGAAACTGTCCTCCAACCTATTTTGCTCGGGCCATACAAACTTCAGAGATTCAGCTGCAGGTACAGGAAGCAAAGGGAAGATCTTGGAGATACTTATTAAAAACAAGCATTAACACTTACTAACTGAGTGTGGGAGACAGATATGAAGGAGTCAGAGTGTATGCATGGACGGCTTCAAAAGGGAATTAGATAAGCATAAGGAGCAGAGGTCCATCAGTGGCTATTAGCCACAAGGTATAGATAGGGACTCTGGGGCAAGTGATGCTCTGTCATCTTGGTGCTTGGGAGGGGGGGGGTCAACAGTGGGAGGGCTTCTAATGTCCTGACCCCGCTGGTGGACCTCCTGATGGCACCTGGTATTTCTGGCCACTGTGTGACACAGAGTGTTGGACTGGATGGGCCTTTGGCCTGATCCAACATTGGCGTCTCTTATGTTCTTATGTTTATGCCTCTTAGACAGGGGAAATGATAGCAGGGTGAAAGCCATTGTTGTGGCAGTCTTTTTCATGCTACACATTGTATGAAATGTTCTTTATTTTTCCTGAACCTGCTGAAAATGCACTTCATTGGGTGACCCCGAGTTCTAGTATTCGGAAAAAGAAATAAATATCCCCCTTTGTCTTTTCCTAAACTTTTGTAAAACTGTCTCATTCCCACAAGTCATTTGTCTTCTCAACCAAAATGCTTCAAATGCTTCAGCCTTTCCTGACTAGGAACTCTGGGCAGGAAAAGAGTGAAGGAGTAAGAGGAGGTGCATTGTAGCCAGAGGAGGTGCATTTTAGCTAGCCGTGTTAATGTCACTGCTGAAGCTTGCTTTCCCCTCCCTGTCTCAGGGACCTCATCAAGCTTGGGTGTGACCAGAGGCACAAACGTTTGGCCTTGGCTCACAGCTTGTGCCTTCCAGCCAACCATGGAATCTACAACTGGCCTGAGAGGTACTTGTTTTGCTTTTCTTTTTTTTCTTTTGCTATGCACAGGTTTATTTATAAGTTATTTTTCTTGTTGTAAGCCAACTTGAGTCCTTTTCTGAGAAAAGAATGATACAAAATAAGGTAAGCATTCCAACACCACTATCATTCTAATTGCCCTTTCTGTACTTTCCTTTTAAAATATGAGTGGCTCAAAACTATACACGCAATTCTAAATGGGGCTACTAGCGCAACGGAAAAGTGGGAAAGCATTTGGTAGCAAGATCAGGAACATCATTTGATACATATTCTCTAGCCTGATTTTTTTTTCAGAACTGGGGAAAGAAATGGGACAGCAAGAGGAATGAAAATGCTAGCAAGACATAAACAGGAGACCAGGGAAAGGGACAGCAGTGCAAAGGAGCATGCTGAACTCTTCACCAGTGGAAGAAGTGACCTGGTTTCGGTGCCCCTTAGCAAACAATGTTTACACGCCTACAAGCTTCCCTCTAATGCAACAACAACAACAAAATCCCTCTTAAAAATAGCAACAACAAGGAATGAGATCCATGATATTCTGATTGAAGCCAACAGGATTCTTTGGCTAGACACACAGCATGAGTTTAGATCTCTAGGCTACTTTCCATCCAACTGACACACTTTCCACATGAAAAGGAGCATACAAGGAAATCCCTTATAACCTTTAGAATGTGCCACTGAACAGGAGCTCATGCAAAAAGGGGAGAATAACCAGCTTCAAGGTAGATCAAATAGCAAGGTCCCAAGTTCAACAGTCCTCCTTGCACTTTGCCACACAAGCAGACCAAGCCTACCAAAACTGGGGAGGAGAAACTGAACACCACCCACTTCTGCTCCATTTATTAAACTTCAACCTACATGTGGGGCAGGAAGATTACATAATAAGGAAAACAACCACATTACATACAAGTCTCTCCGTTCAGTAAGCCTGGGAAACAATTAATACGTTTACTTTAAAGTAGTGCTTAACACACTGTAGGTTAAGTACATAATCTAAATAAGGAGCCCTAGCGTATGCAGAAGAGCTAGTGGCAGAAGCGAGCACCACAGCAGAAGATAGCCTGAATTTAGTAAGTTGATTTGTCTAGTTTATTGAATGCTTCTGAGGTGGCTCACTTGAGACAAAGGCAGCAGAGATCTGCAGCACACCTGGAGAAAAACAGGGGGCCCTATACCTGGCTGTGACAGCCAGGTCTGACACTTCACTACTAACTGCTTCCTGACATAGTGAACTGGAGGCAAAGCCAACCCAAAGCATGAGGTGCTACTCTATGTACTATAGTGTGCACAAGAATCTAACACTGTATAGTACACATGCCAAAAATTCCAGCCCTTATTATGTGATAATGGGTGATTCCGCACTAGACCTTAAATCTTGGTTCAACCCTGTCCCCAAACTTACATTCTACACTACACTCGAGTTCACCCCTGTAATTATCTCAGGGTGTTTTTTGTTTCCAGATTACATTGAGGTCACCCCGGTTTTGCCCCACACTTGTCCCAGGATAAACAGATGCTTGGATCTCATCCCTAGTTTCAATAGAGTTCAAGTTGCGACACAAAGTCTTGCATTTATCTCTGGTTATAACAGTGTGGTGTAAAATGTAAGTTCGGGGACAGGGTTGAACCAGGATTTAAGGTCCAGTGCAGAAAGGACCTTTATAACCAGGGATAAATGCAAGGTATTGTGCTGCGAGTTAAACTCTGATAAAACCAGGGATGAGATCCAAGTGCGGAAAGGACCACTGATATTTATTTCCTTTGGAAACCATAGCTGGTTTTATGAAACAGCTGAGCTGTGACAGAATTGCAACACTGTAACAAATCTACATTTCATGGCGCATTAAACATGTTCTAGCAGGACAGAACACATTTAACATCAACAGCACAAATGAGGATTATTTTCGAGAGAGAAAGGGTTAGTCATTCCGTTTTCAGAGCTCTGAACTCAGAAGTATACACTAATCTCCAGCAAACAGTTATCAGACTAAGTTTGTTTCAAGCATTCAAAAGGTAGTTAAACATTTAGGATTAAGTTCCCAGCAGGCTGGTAGACTTCCAGATTATGAGCAATGTTAACATTTCAGCCGTGGCTAATGCCACTAATGTAACATACATTAATGGAATCCCACAAGTTACATCTGGAGTAACAAAAAGACATTTCAACACCACCATCAAATATATATATATATATATTGAGAAGATTGGACAAAAGGTGGTTGAAGAGAAAATGAAAGCTTCTTTGGTGCAGGTAATTTCAGCTGGAAATCAGACTGCGTATCAAAGCTTCAGAAAAGTGCCACTGATTTCCCTCAATATCCTGAGGTTCTTAAATCCATTAACCACAGTTAATATGTAACAAGAGCTCTCTCTCTCTCAGGTATCCTGCAATTTTATGTAACCACATGACAGTTAACAGTGTTGCCTTTAAAACTGCAAAAGAAGTCTGACATTATGTATCATTCTTAGAAGAAGACCAAAATGGGTAGCCGTGTTAGTCTGTAGCAGTAGAAAAGAGCAAGAGCCCAGTGGCACCTTAAAGGCTAACAAAATATGTGGCAGGGTATGAGCTTTCGTGAGTCATTGCTCACTTCTTCAGATAAGGAGCAGTGACACACAAAAGCTCATACCCGGCCATATATTTTGCTAGTCTTTAAGGTGCCACTGGACTCTTGCTCTTTTCTGTTTTTAGAAGTGTTTAACTCAGGGAAGTCTCATCAGTCAGTCCAGTAGCTTTGCTCTAGGAGGTTAAAAACTTCGCAAACTAAAGCATTACTAATGAAAGAATTAAGCCCTGTCATCCCTTAATTGTATTGAACCAAGTGCTAAATTATGAATCCCACATTGATGTCAGATACCTTTTAAACCAGTAAATCTCATCTGGATCTGCTATCCCAAATTCTCGGAGCTTCATCACCATGAGCGCACTCTTCTTGATGGCTAGTTCATAGCGCTCACTGCGGGAAAGGAAGTTAACATCCTCATGCTTGAAGTCTGGGTCATTTAAAACCAGGGCTTCTGTAGAGATAATGAAAGGAAAGAAGAGAACAACAGGATTCAGCCAACAAAAGAATTCCACGTGAGAAAGATATGTAGCTGCCTCTGCACTATGGCCTCACCACTGGCAAGCTTTTCCATGAATTTGCATAAATCATATAATGAAGCAGTAAGATGGTAGTAGCCTTTTACTCAGTCATGGCTACTATCACACACAACCACTGACATCACAACATAGTGAAGATCAAAAGTGGTTTATACATCAGTGCAGATTCAGAGCACTATTGCTCAGAGCTTTTCAATTAGGCAATGTGCCACTGTGGCACCAAACAATGAATTTCATTTGAGAGACAACCCATTTCTGACAAGGGGAGAGATCCCAAACAAAAGCTAAATGACTGAAAACTAAGGGAAGTGGCAACAAGGTGCCAAGTCAGGCACAACAGTATATACCATCAAGATTAACACAAATCCTCTTCAGCAGTTCTCACTGTTTTGGATAGCAGAAACACAACGCTTAGTATTTAGTGTACCCTACAGATGAAGAAGCTTAGTAATAACCACTTTAACATACGTTATTTATATCATTTTAACCACCATAATGCACCCACAACAAGAACAGCTAAGTAATGACAAAAAGCAGATATTTCTCATGTGCTCACATTTTTTGGGGGAAGTGGTGACCCCAATCTATGATAATTGTAAGAACCACATCAGGTTATCAAAGGTACTCCAGATTAACTAAGAGACTACAAAAGGCACAATCCCGTATGAATAACAGTATAAAAAGGAAATGTATTATCTTAACTTTGTCAGGCCGAGAGGGTAATGAAAGCAGATAGTCAGCAAAACACAACAATTACTACACAAGCTCTACCCACTTGCCCCAAGCCCTCTTGCAGTACCAAATCTACTGAACTGATTTGGAAAAATCGCTATTCCTAGACTCCCTGTTAACAACAGCAGATTAAGACAATAAACCATAAATCACAAAATCCCGGCTTGAACTCCCACCTCAGCTCCAAGTCCCTTCAGGCAAACCACTACCACTGAGCCTCAATTTACAGGGATTTTGAAATCTGAGTATGAATATATTTTACCATGAAAGGAAGTCACCATTAGCAGTTACAGAGTTGGGTTAGGACTGGCAGATCCAAGCTCAAATCCCCACTTTGATCACTGGGGGGCCTTGGACCAATCACTCCCAGACTAACCTACCTCAAAGAGTTGGCATGAGGACAGAACGCAGGGGAGTTCTATTGAAGGAAAGGATAAGTATCTATAGGGAAAAAACACTGATAATAGTCTTGGGAGGCAGTTAAAAGTTACAAATGGGCTAAAGTATGCAAAGCACTAAATAAAGAATAAACATTAGGTAGGTAACAGCTGGTCAGTTAATGACAAAGTTTATTCAACAACCCCCCCTTTTCTTAACCCCCCCCCCAAGTAAACTATATATGAGGTCTAACAAGGTCTGCATGGTCTACTTTGAGAGGTGGAGATCTTTCTTATCACCTACAACTACCTGATCTCTTTAACTACTACCTGATCTCTAATTCCAGGAACTGAATTAGCGCATCCGGTGCCACTTTAGAAGAAGCCTTCCTTCATCTCTGCTATACCGGAGAAAATCTCTTTTAAAATGGGCCAGATACCGTACACGCAGGCATCACCCGAAAGCACGGGCTTTGCCTTGCCCCGTCCCCTTCTGATCTATTACTTATTGGCATTAAAAAACCCTTCATGCATTCAAAACGAGTCATCCCCATCCGATTTCGTGTATCGGGTAGTTTAAGTAGCCGAGGAAGGAAACGAGCGGTGGAAAGCAGGCCCTAAACGCCGGAATCGTCCTCCTGCTGCCACCCACAGCCGCCGGTTCTTCCCCTTCCCAAACGCTTCTCACCGAGCTCCCTGCGGCGCCGGGTCCGGTCGGCGCCCCCATCCAAGATGTTGGTCAGAAACTCCGTGTTGAAAGAGGCCGTCTCCCGCTCCTTGCGCAAGTCTAGATTCATTGCCATGGCGAGACACACCAGCCGCTCCGCTCTGACACCGAAGGACGAAAAGAGACAAACGCCAGCAACTCGCCCAACCTTTGGGACGGGGCTCAGGCTTCAGCTGATCCAGCTCCGCCCACTTCCGCCTCCATGTGACACGGGACGCCCGCGTCCGCTCGGGGAAAGCCGGTGACGTGGAGAGAGGAGATTCACCCTCCTCTGGCTTCTCCGGGGGGCGGGGCTAACATAGGTTCTGCTGTTCCCTCATTGGCTAGCGGTGCTAATAGCGAGGAAAAGGAACAGGGTCTGGGACTCTGTGCAGGGTTGTCAGAGGCAGCCTTCTCAAGTCACGTGGGTAGGTAATGCTTCCCCAAAAATGCGTTTAGCCGATATTTAAATCTGGGGACTTTTGTGGGGAGTCATCCGTATATTTGTTTATTTAAAATACATAAACATGTAATGACAAGTTTTGATATCCATTCACTGAAGTAGTCACAATTTTATCTGTTCGGACGAAGTGAGCTTTAACTCACGAAAGGTCGAAAACTGGTACCCTGGATAATTTTGTTGGTCTCTAAGTGGAGGCGCCGTGATCACGAAGGTGGTTTTCCCAGGGTGAGGCTCATCCGTTGCCCCTCCCCCCCGCGATTTCCCCAAACGCGGGAAACTGGAGTATAAATTCTGTATTGTAAGCCACGAGTTTCATAAGGGAGAAAGGCAGCTAACAAATGTTTTAAATATATAAATAAAGACTGGACTCCAATTTTGTTCTGCTATCGGAAGATTTAACAGGGCTGGCCTGGCCACCTGAACGTTTGTGCTAGAATAAAATTTGGTTGGCATTTAAGGTGCTACAAGATCCTTGTAAATTTCAGGCTGTCCTCGGCAAATAGACCTGTCGTTTTCAGGATTGCTTGTAATTGCACAAAAAACAGTGTGGGGGTGATAGATGTGTCTGCCTGCCTGGCTTGCAAAGGAAAGCTGAATGTATTCTAATGATGTACACTGCCCCAAGCCCTCCGAGGGAGGGTGGTTTTGTTAAAAAATAATCATCATCAATAATAATATCTCCAGGCAAACTGAGCTTCCCTTTCTCTGTTACTGGGACCAGCGCTATCATGATCTGGGCTGTGCAAGTAAAGGCCTAGCAGGCCCAGGGAGCTTGAGTAGCAGTGGGAGGAGGCTAGGCCTATAACTCCCAGAAGTCCCTGAGAAGTTTTGGCGCCAATTTTAGCCAATCACAGAGAAAGGGGATTTATAACAAAAGAGCTGGACAGAAGAAAAGTTGTTCTTTCTTCCAAGAGAGCAGGGCCAGAGGGGAGGCTGCTGCTGGGAGAGACTCTGGGTGAATAGAGTCAGGTCCAACTGAGACAGTGAACTAGGGACAGTGAGTCTAGTCACATTAGGACATTTGGTTTCTTTTCTCTTCACCCACTTATCATTATTGTTCTTGCACCTTGTTAGTTTCCCATATTTGACTGACCTGTAAAAATAAACCTTTTATTTGTTGTTTACTCTGCCTGATCCTCACACATATTATTCGGCCAAATAAGGGAGGTCTGAAGGTCTTGGGAGGGTGCTCTGGGCCTTCTCAAGGGATCCTAAAACCAGAGTGGTGACAGCATCAGGTGACACCCCACATGAGCCATGACAAGCACTTACAGCACTGTTAAATTGCTCCTTGTCACTTCAATCCCTCCCCCCTTTTTGTTGCACATTTTTATCTTCTGCTATTTGTTTATTTGCTTCATTTATTCTCTGTTTATCCCCAATGGAATCCAAACTGGTTTACATGGTTTCCTGTCTTCCATTTTATCCTGAAAACAACTATGTGAGGTAGATTAGGCTAAGTATATGTGACTGGCCCAAGGACACCCAGCAAACTTTCAAGGCAGAGTGGGGATTTAAATCTGGATCTCCCAGATCTAGTCCCACAGTAACCACTATACCTCACTGGTTTCCCCCCTTTGGAACACAAAAAAAACTCAGTTTGATCATAGCCTGTAGTTATATGTTCTATAGCTATTGACTGATCTGGGGTAAAGCTTATCAGATGAAAAATTCAAACCTAGGGATGCTTTAGTGGAGAAGTACCTGAAATATTGAAGGGAAATCCATTGTGTTCTTAAGGGCTGAGATTCTCTGGAGTAAAGGAATTGTATGATAGATATTGCACTGATAACATCTGATTTATAAAACAGAAGAAAGTTACATATTCTACAGGGTTGTTACAAAGACAAATGAAACAAACCAATCAGAATGTTTGTGAACTATTTAAAATGATATAAATATCATGCTGTAAGCAATAGCCTGGTAGGGTTTGTATTTAGGGTGGTGAACTTTTTTTTTTTTTTTTAAACAACCTATAACTGCACAAAAAGTAAGTTTCATTTCTATATGGAAAACAGCAATAGGATCTCCATGCTTGGTACAGGTCAGGATTGGTATACTGTGGAATGGAAAAATCCACTTTTAAATGTTTGTCTCAAAACTGGTCTGTCTGTAGGATCTACCTCCAAGAGCAGCTGTAATGATGCTACCCGATGCAGCAAAGTATCACTTTCCTTGGGAGGTAAATTTGGCATCAGTCTCTGAAAGGAAGACCCTCAGAACATTTGGCAGGTTTGTGCACTTCAGCTGCAGGGGTAAATATGAGGAATTTTGTTGTTGCTGTTGTTCAGTCGCACAGTTGAGTCTGACTCTTCGCGACCCTATGGACCACATCACGCCAGGCCCTCCTATCTTCCACCGTCCTCCGGAGTGTGTTCAATTTCATGTTTGTTGCATCAATAACACTATCTAACCATCTCATCCTTTGCCTTCCCGTTCTTCTTTGACCTTCAGTCTTTCCCAGCATCAGGGTCTTCTCCAGTGAGTACTCCCTTCTCATTTGGTGGCCAAAGTATTTGAGCTTCAGCCTCAGTATCTGGCCTTCCAGGGAACAGTCAAGGTTAATTTCTTTTAGGACTGACTGATTTGATCTCCTTGCAGTCCAAGGGACTCTCAAAAGTTTTCTCCAGCACCATAATTTGAAAGCATCTATTCTTCAGTGCTTGGCCTTCCTTATGGTCCAACTCTTGCAGCCATACATTACTACTGGGAATACCATTGCTTTGACCATACTTTTGTTGACCATACTTTTGTGGACCGGGTGATATCTGTACTTTTTATTATACTGTCGAGGTTTGCCATAGCTTTCCTCCCAAGGAGCAGGCGTCTCTTAATTTCATGGCTGCAGTCACCATCTGCAGTGATCTTGGATCCTAGGAATGTGAATTCTGTCACTGCTTCCATGACTTTCCCTTCTATTTGTCAACGATAGATGGGGCTGGATGCCATGATCTTAGTGTTTTTGATGTTGAGTTTCAAGCCAACTTTTGCGCTCTCCTCTTTCACCCTGAACAAGAGTCTCTTTAGGTCCTCTTCACTTTCTGCCCTTAGAGTGGCATGAGGAAAATAGCCTCCAAAAAGGCAGAGGAGGCAGTCTCTGAAGTTTCCCTGCTCACAATTGCTATGCTCATTTCCTTTCCTAAGTTAAGATTCTGTTACTTTTGGCCAAGCTAGTTATGTTTCCTTGCCTCATTTTTTTCACTTTCCCCCTGATTTATCTTGCTTTAGAATTTATAGGAGTACCTTTATATACATGCAAATGCTGGAAGAAGTTTTGTTGCTTTGATTTTTTAAAAAATTCCTGTGAAATGTTAATTTTCTTTCTTTTCTTCTTTCTAATTTCTTACTGTGTGTGCCATTTCCCATTTGCTAGGGCTACTTCATGTTTTAGTTTCCTTACCTTAGCAGATTAACTTGTCTTGTATGATATCCGCATTCATTTTTAAGTTGGGAGAAATACAGCCGTACCACCGTTGAGCTGTTGCAAACTTTTTTCATTACAAGATTCTGTGGGGCAGCCTTTGTTTGGTTTCATTTCGTTAACAGGACAATTCCATATACTAGGTGGCTTCCACCTTGCCTGCGGCTATGTAAAACAGAAATGTTCAGGAGGGCATTTTTTATCAAGGGATTAGAACTGTAAAACAGTGAAAAGGTTCAGGAGGGTGCTTTTTATAAGAGACAAGGATTGTAGCCTGTTGCACTATTTATTGTCTGGATCATTTTGCTTTTACTGCATGGACTTCTGATTTTGTGTCCATTTTCTGTTGTGTTTAATTTCTTTATTTACTTCATTTATTCTGCTCAATGGGGACCCAAAGAGACTTATAAATGTCTTCTTTCCTCCATTTTGTCCTGACAACAACCCTGTGAGGTAGGTTAGGCTTAAAATGTGATATGGGCCCAAAGTCACCCAGCAAGCTTCCATGGTGGACTCAGTATTTGAACCTAAGTATCCCAGATTCTAGTCACTCTAACCCCCACACCAGCTCTCTTTAGTTAGACTTGTTAGTATTATCACAGTGTTTATTTGATGTTTTATGCTCTCTGATTGTGTTGGTTTTATATTTTGTAATCTGCATTGAGTCTCAGCAAGAAAGGAAGGCTATATAAAACTAAACACATTAATAGCTCCTTAACTACTATTTGTTTAAACAAGATCAAAATGAACAACAGAGGATTAATTTGAGCACGTAATAGAAACTAATTCAAATGTTCATCAGGATACGTGGCACAGTCCTTATTAGATCAAACTATTTTAATTATGTATGTTTAAATTAATACCCTGTATGTGCAGAACTAGTCAGGGAGAGGCTGCCCTTCCCCACAGTACTAACTTATGATATGAGATTTTAACACAGTGATGTATTCAAACATGCATTCACCACAAGTATGTTTTTGGTTGTACAATGCTGTGAGGGCTGTTCCATATGCTATCTTGAATATTAGTATCAGCTCCAAGACTTTCTGTTCAGCAATTATTTTTCTGTTTTCAGTGGCACTTTGGTCTTAAACATGGCCATTGGAAATGAAGTATAATTACTCCCAAGTAAATCTGTTTAGCATCAGATTATCAATGGTAATAACTATTCTAGAATAAAGTGTAATCTGTGGGTTAAGATTATTAATAGTTGGGCTTTGCATACTTTATAATTATTATTGCTACTGGAATTTGATTTGGGCAGAAAGAAACATAATAAATCCCTTATTACTTTTGACAGGTTAATATCAAGGACTGCTCTCCAGTGCAACAGAGTAATTTCTGTTGTTGTGTCTCTTGATTATGTAACAATGTCTTGCCATATTCCCAGTGCTATATCCATAGTGATTTTAAAATTGTTATTATCTTGTTATTTCTTGAACAATACATCTGCCTGTGTCCCATTTCAGTTTGGTTTCAGGCCTGGGTTATTTATTTATTTATCATAAGGCAGAGTGACACACAAGAAGCAGATAATAATATAAATTACATAACCAAGTTGATACGAGTATGCAGACCAATTGGGCAACCCCTTAAATACTAATATCTAAATTTTCAGACTACTCCACTGCAGCTGGGGAGAGTTCAAAGAGCTCCTGATCACATCACCCTGGAAATCACAACGCTCACAGAAAGAAAATAGTTTGGTGGGCTGCACCACAATTGCATTCAGGTCCTGGTATTTTGCCCCATTTAAACAACAGGCCTGCACAACCGCCAAAGTCTGTTTGCATTCTATTAGCTATCTTCCATACTTTTTGTGGCAAGACAACTCCGACCTGCGGACCTCTCATTAGTGTTTATCACATTATGGATATTGGGTGGAACTGATTGCATCCATGTTTGCAGCCATTCATTCCCTAGATTGGAATTTTGTGATTGCAGGATTTGTGCAGATCTTATTTGTAGGTGTCAAGATTAGGGTTGCCAAGTCTATCTTCGCCTGGAGCGGGGAGCTCCCGGCCAGTGCCTTGTGCACACCGCGCACACGTCACCCGGAAGTGACAGGAGGACGCCAGGCACGCTGGGGGCGGGGCCACGGCCATACAAGGGGAAACCATAGAGTTTTCCCTGGTATGGCCGTGGCCCTGCCCCCAGCGTGCCCGGTGTGCCCGCATCACGTCCGGGTGATGCGCATGTCCGGGTGGAGTTCCCCCTGGGGCCCGATCTGGCGGCGCCAGGGAACGGGCCTCTGGGGCTGGGGTTTCCCCGCCCCCCCGGGGGGACTTGGGATCCCTAGTCGAGATCTTAGTCTGGAAAGGTCCATGTCAGCCATGTCTTTGTGGAGGGCAGTTCTCTGTGTTCAGGGATCTGTCTATATTCACAAAGAAGAGCATCTTGTCTTCAGAGATGCGGGGGAGCAATGTGGCACAACATGGGTAGCTAATAGGTCAGAGTGGGTTTAATACATTTGCTGATGGTTCTTATTTTGTGTTGAGTTGGACATCAAGCCTGTGGACATGGGGGCTGTTGAGCCACACTGAGGCACCATATTCCACAGTACTATACACCAACCACAAAGCTGAACATCTAAGTGTTGTAGCAGACGCACCCCAAGTTGTACCACATAATTTTTGGAGAATGTTGTTTCACATGTGTATTTTCACTGCTATATTGATAAGATGGTGTTTATAGCTCAAGGTCCTGTCTAGGGCAATGCCAAGGTACTTAGGTATATGGTTGTTTGTAAGTTGGGTCCCATTAAGGTAGACAATCCGTTCACAGTTGGCAAGATTGTTATTGAGATGGAAACAGGAGCATTCTGTTTTTCCTGGATTTGGGATAAGCCTCCATTTATGGTAATAGTCAGCCAAAATTTCAAGATCCCTAGTCAGTATTTCCTCAGTTCTTTCAACTGATTTGTACCTTATTGCAATCGCCAGGTCATTGGCATAAGCAAACTTCCTGGATATCATCTCAGGAACATCAGAGATGTATAAATTGAAAAGAACTGGAGTGAGGACCGAGCCCTGGGGTAGACAGTTATTCAGTTTTTTCTGCTTGCTGATTGACTGACCCATAATTACTTGGAAAGTTCTATCGCTCTGCATGTTATGTAGGAGTCAAAATAATGTTCTGCAGAGGAAAACTTGGAAAAACTTGTACAGCAGACCATCCCTCCTGACTGTCATAAGTGGCAGTCAACTCGACAAAAACTGCTGATGTCTTAAGACACTCCTCCTAATACCCTGCCTCAGTGAAAGTTGTTAACCTGATAACCTGGTCTTCACAACGATGACGGGGTCTAAATCCTGCTTGCTCTATAGGGACATGTTTGTTAATTCTGTCATTAATTCTGTTCAGGATTAGCCTCTCGAGGAGTTATAACAGTAGCCCAGAAGGGAAATAGGTCTGTAACTTTCCACCAGATGTTTTGGTTTTCCAGGCTTCAGAATAGCAACAATCTTTGCTTTCTTGAATTTCCCTGAGAGTCTTCCTGTCCTCATGATGTCAGTGAGACTCTTTGTGAGCCACTTCTTAGTGAACGTGCTGCTGTTGATCAGGAACTCATTTTGGATGCAGTCAAAGCCTGGTGCCTTTTCACTCTTGATGTCCTTCAGTGCCTTGGAAATCTCATCAGCACTGAAATCCCCTGATAGTTCACAGGCGCGTTTCAAAATCTGGAGCTCTTTCTTTTATCCTGATTGTAAAATCTCGATCCTTTGGAGCTCTGGATAGGGATACCAGTTGGGCAGCTACCTGGTATGATGTTACCTCAAGATTTCCTTGGAGCACAGGTGGACTTGCATTT